GAGAGAGAGTGAGAGGAAGGAAGCGAGAGAGAATCATTATTGGGGAAGCAAACTGTTCGAACGAATACGAGCTCGTGTCCACATTCGATCGTCTCTAGCTTTATCGACGTAAGATACAAACGCAAAATCGTTGGAAAAGTGTCGCTTTAAATTCCACGTTCGAACGAGAAAGGACGAGGTGTTCATCGACAGAGAGAATTTGCAGAGAGAAAGAGAGAGAGAAGGGAGAGCTGGTTGAAATGTTCGTCGACAAATGTTTGCCGAGCGTGCCGCGCCAATATTCACGGAGATTGCCATTTTATCCTTTTTTTTTTTATCAGCGAAGGTCTATTGTCCCGATAACGAGAATCCTTGCTTTTCATTCTAACGCCGCGTAACAAAATCGTACAAAGCCAAACGTTTAAGAGGGAGTCTTTAGTCGAACTTATTTTCGTGTATCAAAGACGAAAGGCGAATTTGCATGCTTTTGATATTCAACGGAAACGTTGAAACGTTTTTCTTTTTTTTTTTTTTTTTATTATATATATTCTTTTGTACTCTTCGATTTCCTTCCCTGCAAATGAATTTATAATTTCACGTTGCGATTGTATTTAGATCGGATTCAGATTTTTTAGGTTAGGCATGGAAAGTTACTTTGGCTTTGAAGGAATATTTTTTAAATCGAGATTCGCTTTTATACAAGTAAACGAGTGAAATTATTTCTTCACGTTTCTTTAAGTTTAATAACCTAATCTCCTCCTCATTGTACAATCACGAACATTTTATGACGAACGATTCGAAAGAATATAAATTCCTAATAAACGACCTAGATCAGAACGATTGAAATTTTAGTTTGCACGAAATATTTTTGTACAGAGTTGTTCAATTACAACGACGAAAGTATGTATAAATAATATGTCCATAACAAACAGGAAAAGGATCTGATCAGGTACCTCTTACTTTATCTAAGAAAAACTACATAGGTAAATATCATAGGTCATAGCAATGACGCGCGTTGAGCGTTCGATGCTCGAGGAGAGGCATAAAAAGGCGAAGTCTATTACAAACGAGCGCTGACTCGGCTCGACTCGACTCGACTCGACGCTCGTAATGGACTGGAAATTGTTGAACATTGTTCGACATGGACGACGCGTGAGTCGCCTCTCGGACGCGAGTCGGTTTAACGAAGCCGAGAAAGAGAAAAGATAAATAAAGAAAAAACGAGAGGGGGGAGAGAAGACCTGACTTCGACATGCCGTGCAAGGTGACAGGTTGATCCTGTTCCACGGTTGTTTCTCCACCACGGAGAGAGGGTCCTAGCCTCAATTTTACGGCCCTCTCTCCATCGAAAAGCTAATATTTCGCCTTTTACGAGCGGCCAAGACGCGTATAACCACCACACCTCTGCCGACCGTTGCGTGCGTTTCTATTTTTCGCGATCGAAAGCCGCGCATTTCACGTCGAGGATCGAACGTGAAATGAAATCCCATCGAGGGGAGGGGAGGTTAAATATAGGGGAATGGAGGAATTAAATTCGATTTGCGGTGAAATAAGTCGGGTTCACGACACGAATCTCGAACACGATCGAGAAGCGGAGCGAGATTGGCGGTCAACCGCGGGCGCTGAACCGCTGAGTTCGATAATTTACCGCTTACACCGTAATTTCGCTACGATTCGAGCCACAAATTCCGTCTACTCAAACGTTTTCCTCCGCAACTTTAACTCCGGCTTATGACAGAGTAAACGGCTAAGTTTAATTAGAGGAAGGAGAATCGACACGTTGCTAACTTGTTGTAACGAGTCGTAAGTCTCGATGACTTACGAAAAGTCATCAAGCCATATATTCGAAGATTTCCCTTCGAACTGGTGATGATTAAATTCAACTTTTGGAAAGAAGTTAAAGAAGAGATATTCATTGGACCACGCAATTTACCAACCACGAGTTAGATTTTTGGGCGAATATAAATGCATTCGGGGATGTTTGCGGATTCGCGAGCAACCCTCTTCGATAAACACAGAATCGCCCACTCTGAATGGGCGTCCTCTTCTCTCTCTCTCTCTCTCTCTCCTCCCCTCCTTTCCTTTGTAGCCCCGCGTGGCAAGGCAACGCGCTGTAGTTACAATGCACGAAGGGTTGGTTACCGGAAGGGGGAGTTGTTTCGAGACGGCGTTATCGACCAGCTTTCCCAATCTCGTAGCCATCCTTAAAGAGGATACCTCGTAAATATGAAACGGCGTCTTTAATGCCCCCTCCCCCCCCAGCAACTATCGACAAAAATATTTCCCTTTAGGAGGGAAATATATACACACAGGGTGTTGATACGTTCGTGGAACACACGTTTGAAGGATCAGAGAGGAAAACAAATACGAAAGTTGGCATAGAAATATATTATTGGTTTATTTAATAATTGGATCGAAATGTTTGTTGCTTCGAAAATTCTTCGAAAAAATTAAAATTCGTGACATTTCTTTTTTTTTTACATATAATTTTAGAATTTTACATTTTATTTTTGTAAATATATGTATCTATATTTTCAGTGGTTATACAGTTTTATTAATGATCGAAGAATTAAAATGATTTCCATTCATAACGCGAGCGTATTTATAATTAATTTGTTATTATATAATAAACCCGAGTTGGCGGTCAACTCGATCGATTAAAATTGCTAGCAAAGAAAACGTGATCGTCCGTCGATAAAAACGATTATTACGAGTTGGTTGGAGTGTTTACAACGGAACGGGAGTTTCGTTTTTTGCGGAAAAATCGTGGTGGAAATTAATAATGCAACACTCGAGAAGATAAATCACTAAATAGGGATATAATAATTTGAGAGCATAAATGCGGAAATATCCCCCGATTTCCTAACAATGGGCAGCGTCCTGTTATTAGTTAATTAATTTGTTCCCTGTGTATGCGTACACATGTCGGAGAGTTTATTCGACGGAGGGAGGGAGGGAGGAAAAAAATTCGAAAAGAGCGGTTGCAATTTATAAATGAAATTACACACAATGGAACAATTCGTATTGTTGGGCCGAAGGAATTAATTATTCTTCCCAACGGGCGGCGCGATAAATGGATATTTAACTCGTCGTGCTTCGTGGCGAAATTGTGTGTGCGAACGACACCCATTGCACAACCGCTCTCTTCCCCATCTTTTGTGAATCGCTTCTTGATCTTCTTCTTCGAGCGAACAATGAGCCTGTTTGTAACACTTTTGTTCATTGATGCTGATGGATATTTGCCGATCCAACATCGGTGAGATAATGCATAATTTAAACATTATTCCCCGCGCTTTGTTCTTTTTCTTTCCTCCCCCCCCCCCTCTCTTTCGAATAAGTAAGGAGGATTCACAATCGAACGATTGTTTTCGTTTTTTCTAGAAATCAATTTTCTTAATTTTTCCGTATCTCTCTTTTTAAAATTCATTAAGATTCCTCTAAGGTTTTTCTTCTTTTTTTGGGAGACAAAGGAGACTGGGAGAAGATATACGAATAAAAATAAAAAACCGAGAGATGAATCGGGTTGTTCGAAGGAAAAATCTTTTTATCGATTATTAATATTTTTTTTAGAACGTGTATTTATTTATTTCGATATCTGGCTACACGGATGCCAAAAAATTTTGAATTGTCTTCAAAATATATAATAATACGTTTTGAAATTTATTATGAAAATAAATTAATAGTTTTCGAAATAACTGTGGGAATAAATATCAAACGGAATGTGAATAAAAAGAGAGGAAAATGTACGTATAATTTAAACTCGTTTTAAAAAAAAGAAGAAAAAAAAAATATGAAAACCTGTAATATATTTAATAACTTCAATAACGATACACGGTAAAAGTTATGCGTGGACGTATGGAAATATATGTGTCACGAGGGAGAAATATTTAAAAAAAAAAAAAAATAACTAACGTTTACTTTTTTTTTTGTGTGTGTGTAAATTCAAGCAACAATGAATTTTTTTTCCAGAAGAGTTCTACGCTCGCCACGTATTTTCTTTCGGCTATCAACTTTGTTATTCCATTGTATTTTCCTTCATAACGCACGAAAATTTAAATAATTCTTTCTCGCAATTACTTCGCGTATCGTACTCCAAATTAACATTTTTCCACCGAGCTGTTACTATTACGTTACGTTATTCTCAAAATTATTAGCATTTTTTAACGAATTTCGAAACTTTTTTTATCAGGGATAGCAGATACAACCTCTGTCCAACATAGATTTTTCCCTACGTTATATTCACTACCACCCATGGTTATATTCGATTGAAATTTCCAGAACACGAGTTCACAATGCATAACTGCAGCATTCGATCCACATTTTTGTAGATCTTTCGTTAAACGGTGTTGCACGTTCATTCGTAACGTAATTTTTACATCTATAAATTTTTATTCGATGTTGCATAGTATAATAAGTTTAATATAATGCTATGATAAAGATGTAATGAATGCGGATTCCTCGTTGGAGATTAAATTTTTACAAAAATTTTAAAACATGAAACTTTACTCCAATGATAAAGAAAAGTATGTACGCATGCAGTATGTCTAGTTTAATTTTTGAAAACGGCAAAGAAATACGAATGATACGATGAAAAAAATATCTCTTGTAAAAAATTGTTTTTGTTAACAGTTTTTATACAGATTATTATATATACATTTTTGATTTATTACTTGTTATAAAAGAAAAATATCATTAATTTAAAGAACGATTTGAATTTCGTAAAAATTTATCGCATAAAAACGTAGAATATATAGTTTCGCGTTCTTCAAAAATTAAAATTATCTCCTCAGCTGAAGATATTTTGAGGAATAATAAATTTAAAATATTATCTCAGTACTTTTTTTCCCGTAGAAAAATAAAGAGCTGCTTCCACTAATTCGATAACAGAACTGTTACCACTGGCAACAGTGTAATCTTCAAATCGCAACTTTCGCTAGCGAATTCTTCCTTCTCTAAGAATCAAGGTCAGGCCGAGCTAACCGCAACGCCTGACTATTTCACAATTCAGTTGAACACAGTTTATTCATATTTTCATTCCCTCGATCGAGATCCTCGACTTCGCCTACGTCGTTTTACGTAGGCAAAGAATCCGATTTCCACCATTCTTCCGCCTCCTCCTTCTCGATATCTCGTTTAATCTTTCAAAAAAAAAAAAAAAAAAAAAGAACCAATTGTCTTTGTCCACGACAATAGGCTGACTCACACCCGATCCCGAGGCCAATTAGGACAAGCGTGCGTGCACGCTTTTCCGTCGACAGTGTGGGTGAAGAGCACACACATTCTCCACTTTTCTCGTGCTTTTCGATTTTCTTTGGATCGAATTTTTCTTTGATTTCGAAAAGGTTCAAAGCTTGTAATATCCTGCCATTCCAACCAAATTCCAACGTTTCTTTCTCGTCTTTCTCTCTTTCTTTCTTTCTTTCTTTTTTTTTTTTTTCTTTCTAAAAAGAAATCCTCGCCTCGAGGAAAAATATTACATACTAGATTCGAAGTGCTCGAGTATCAAAGGGGAAACTGTGCGAAATGGGATTGATTTAATGAAAGAAAATGCAATTTCGTGAGAAATTTCAACGGAAGAGGAATTAATTAATTAATCATTCGGTATTGTTAGAGGTTTCGGAGGATGGGCAGAAAGTTGAATATTTTGAGCGAACAAATATGTCGAATTGTTTTTTTTTTTTTTAAGGTATATTACGTTCCATCGTCGAAAACAAGCTGACGGGAAGAAAGCATGAAACGTTAAATTCGTTACATTCTTTTTCCCCGGGCTCTGCACTTTTTCTTTTTCCTTCTTCGTTTTTCCCCTCTTTTTTCCTTTTTGCACGGCTTTTGTAACTCAATAGCTTTTGACACTGAAATTGATAAAAATCTTCGATCCGAAAACACAGCTGGGCTTTCGTTCGAGATATACATTATTTTTTTTTTTCTTTTCCTTTTTTCGTTTGTTCGTTTGATTTCCGATTCAATTCTTCTATATAAACGTTCTACGTATTCTCCTTTTTTCTCAGATTTTCCTTTTCTTTTTTTCTTTTTTTTTTTTTAATATCAACGTTCGATTATCATGTAAACCGCGCGAGATAAAGCATAAACAAGAGAGAGAGAGAGAGAGAGAGAGAGAGAGAGAGAGAGAGAGAGAGAGAGAGAGAGAGAGAGAGAGAGAGAGAGTATAGTA